TAACAACAGCAACATTAACTAGAGCTGGAAAATAGTTTATTTTGCCCGCTAACACTGGCAAAACATGAAATCAGCTTCTCGCAGATAGCGGTGCTGATGTTGTATCATACTACAAACCTTTATTTTGCAACACACTGAATACAAGAAAATTAAATAAGATACATCCAAGAATATAAATTTACTGTTTCAGTATTTCTTAGTAAAACAATGATCATAATAATAATAACCCAGTGGGAATAAAGTATTAAAATGAGAACAAAAAATTATGATAAATAAGCTTCTGTATATGGCTATCACTTACGACTTCACCTGTTTCTTCGGGGAAGGAAGGAAGCAGTTTCACTCTACACAGGTGAAGTGAAATAATAGAAGCAGAGTTGACAACAAGAAGTTATGTTGCTGTAAGTGCAATAAAAGCTTCCCAGCAAGTGTTACACTGAACGTAAGTGAGTGAGAGCGAGTGCGCTGCAGCTGAAGCGTAGTGTAGTAAACACGGGACAAAATAGAACTCGAGTGATTGATTGGAGCCATTATGGCCGTAACCAGTGCAGCTTTTTGTCAGAATCGGGATGATATCCAATCAATACATTGTTAATTATTCCAATCAATTGTTACAAGAAAGCGGTTACAGTTATAGGAGCCACGGACTAGTTTAGTTAGGTTTTGGATATGGCAGTCAAACCTGTTAATCACCCCAACAGCCAGATGCTAGCTTTCAGTCTTGATACGCGTGCCCTGTATTAATACAGAATGTTGCTGCTGGAGATGCAGACTGGCTTATATGAGCGTAAATCCTGTGATACTGATAAACTTTTCATATAGCAGTAAATAAGAGTTTACACATGATAAATGCTGTCTAAACACAAACAGCTGCAGAAGTGCGGTTCACATTTAATGCAAACGTATTTTAAACCAGCACCCATCTGATTACACAGTAAGCCAACAGTTCAGGTTGGACATGCATTTAATTTGGATAGTTTTTGCCGCTTGAGATATATTTTTAGAGCCATAAGTACCCGGCCCTGAGGCTACTTTAACTTTAATGTATTTATATTTATAACCAGATCAGCATTTTTGCACCAGCAAAGAAATAACCTTTGTTCATAAATAAACTCCTGAAAAAATGAACACTGCATGCCACCGGCACATAGAGCCAGCATGATAAGCACATTGCTGATCTTGATTTCTGATGGTACAGAAATCAAGGTCAGCAACACCTGATGTACCGTGTTAAAATAACCGCAGGTAGTCAAGACTGATGAAAAGCGTAATGTGACAGCAGCGTGATGAATCAGACGAGGACTCAAATCAAACTGCACATGTTGTCTCCAACATCGTTTCTCTACTTCAGACTAAAACACAGTCTGAGAGTTTTTAAATTAAAATAAAATCTCTGTTTTCAGTGCCCCCCAAAAAAAGGTAAAGTAGTTTGGATGTTAGGCAAAAAGCCGCAAAAGTTTCACATTTTAATTTTAAGATGAAAACCTGTTAGCACGGACATGTCCTGGGTATCAGCTGCCTCACTCTCTCTTTCACCTGGAACATGTATACCTCAAAAAACACACGCACACACCGTTCATTCATCCATGACCACCCTGTTACACCCCGCACTTGGCAGGATGCTTATCTGAGCAGACAGCTTTGGGCGCAGGGAGCCATCTCTTCTGATCTCCTCTGCAGTTTAAGAACCTTTTAACTAAGAAATAGCCCTCTGCCAAGCCCACCGCCTCTTGATTCCGGCTTATTCCCTCATCTCATGGGACTGATCTTCCGCCCCCATTGCAAACCCTGCAGCAGCGTTAGCAGAACGAGAAAGAGCCGATAGACATCCTGGCTTTTGAGATATCCCTGCACTGGTGTAATAGGAGACCTGTGAGTGGATTTGATGAGTGAGTGAAGTGCAGGTGGGTTTTTTTGGGGGGGGGGCAGTGAGTGTGTGTGCTCGCACATTCTTCAGCAGCTCCACGGGGTTTGACCTCAGGAAGACAGGCTGTTTTTTTGGGCAGCTGGACGATGGATCACAGGGTTTTAGTTTGGAGATTATTTCCTGCCACTGATAGACATCTGCTAAGTAGTACAATAACCTAATGGGAGGAGATGAGGGGAAAAGAGGGACATGACAAACAAGCTGAAGACTTGCACCTTCGGCTTCTCTCTTAACGGCAATAATAGGGGAAAATTGGTTCTTGAAATTGAATTGAAAAAAAGAGGGTCTCTTTCAGCAAGTATAATGCCTCCGAATACATTTGGTGAGCAGCAAATGGAGAAAAATGGAGGGTAGTTAGACGATTGTCTTTTATTTCAGAGAGGGGAAAGCGGTGGCGGTATCCCCCGTTAAGACTAGCTTTTAGTCTCAATCTACACCATGTGTCCCTTTCCACTCTCTCAACCACTATCTTTGAACAAATGGACTGTGAGGATGGGCTTGTTGTGAAATTAGTATCCTCACAGCGAGGACACAGAGAAAGGATTATGTGAATAGCCAGTAATGAGCTCAAAGTGCCAGTGTGTTTAGGCCAGGCCTGCCTGTGTGTGAGAGGAAATGGCACTGCAAGCGACCTTTTTTTGCTCAAGCACCTGGCGAGACAGAGAGTGGCCCCTCTCTTCACTGCAAATGTGTGTGAGAGAGGAAGAGGGAGTGGAGTCTTCGGAGTCTTCGGAGTCTAAAGATGCAGTTTACTCATATTTATTAGAGAGATGCATTTTTAGTGAACACCCTTTTCACACCGACAGGCTAAAAGAGTTGTTTTGTGCTGCTTCTAAAATGCTTTAAAAATACATGCGAGTGTTAAGTGCATTATACAAGCCTCGGGGTCTGAGGTCAAATGTAATTTCTTTAAAACTGTTTTATTTTTTTATTTTTTTAAAAGGCTTTTTATGGGTGAAAGACTGCATTCTGGGCGGGGAGGATGCATTTAACACCTGTTTCTGATCATTGCCTATTCAAACCAGGGAAGTCATTCAGTGTTAATTACAGGCAGCTAGATGTGTTTGCATATCGTAGTTCCTTTCTGCATTTTCCACCCTCACACTTCTAATCAAATTTTGCTTGAATCATTCGAAAAGCTAAATGGCTGTAGAACATTTGGATGCACTTCTTAAATCTCCTGTTTTTAAAAGGTAAAATATATGTGGGGAATTTCACAAGTTTATACAAATACACCTGTAAATACAAATCGAAAGTTAATTACTGCCAAGGATTTTGTCTATAATTTTCCTCTTTTTCACCTAAACTGTGCTGGGGATGTTCTGTTTTAAGGCCAGATAACGTAGCACAAATTTGCATTTGTGCATTTGGAAGTCATTGTCACAGATATTCAATAAAAGTTACAAAATTGACTTTGTAAGTGTTTGTCATAACGTAGCCTGCTTTAGATGATGGTTTTTCACTTTGGTCAAATATTACAGGAACATTGGGTCATTTACAAGCTTGATTTGTTTGGATTCTTCAATGACTGGTTTAATTTTTTGACGATTTTCACTGCTGGTCTGTGTTTTGCTTTATTCTTTAAATGAATGAGACAGGAGCCGGCGCTTTGCTGCCATTAATTGATCTTGTAATCATTGTAATTGCATTCTTTCATATTAAAATGATAATCTATAAAACTAAGTAATGGACTGATGGCAGGTGGCTAAATGTTCATTTAGTGATTCACTGAGAAAATAAATAACAGGGGACAAGCCTGTGACAGGCGCATGAGAAATCATTTTTCAATAATCTGCCACGCATCATGGCGGGAGACGCTGGCACTGACAGCATAGATGAAATATTTGCCTCTGTTCTTTGTTTTAATATGAGAGGAGACCAGCCCAGATGGAAACAATAGTGTTTTATATTGATGCATTTTGGACAAGACATTCAAACACAGGCTGAGCTAAGATTAAGGCCACAATCCTTTTTATAGACACAGCCATTATCCATTGTAGGTGAGACTGGGCTGCAAAAGTGTTCAATACAGCGAGAGCGTGTGGTTCCAGGAAATGAACGGTATCTGCTGAGTAAACAATGGTGAAGTGAATCTCGATCCTTATCATATAAAATCACTTCTGGAACCTCAGCGGTTTGCTTTAGCTGTTTTCATCTGGCCTATAAAACCAGTAGAAGTAATCAGTCATCATTGACACTCATAAGTTTCTAATGAATGATAACCTGTATCTGCATAATATATGTAAAACTGTGTCCTGTGCTTTCCACTAGGACTAGGATGGGCTTTTTCAGAAGAAACTAGCAGCAACTGCTTCCCTGTTCCTGAGTGAAGGTGGCTGTGGGGGAAAAATGGAAGTGTAGAGCTGGAGATTTATAGCCTAGAGGGAGATTGATTAGTGCCGTCACTAGCCCTGATGTACGGTTGGCAGTCTCCCCCTCCTAGCCCATCGCATTTGCTCACACACACACATGCAACCATACGGTTCAACACACGGCTACACATACATGCAGACACCACTCAGTCCCCCCCAGGCCTTTCCTGACAGTCCCCCAGAGCTGTTGCATGTTAAGTTGTTGCAGGCAGACTGCTGTTTTCTCAGCATTCCCATTTTTTATTTTATTTTTTTTTTTTTAGCTGTCCATAGATAACGCCATCAATCACCACGTACACACTGGCCTGGAAGGAATGTGTCTCAGTGTGCCTGAGTATTGCTACTTTGTGTGTGAGCCCGTGTGTTTGTTTTGACGATGGTTTCATGGACAGGAGATGCGGTTGAATGGCTTTGTGGATGTGCTGTTTGAAGCTGCAGAGTGACTGGCCTGGACTGTGCTCTGAACCCGTGTCAACTGTGGTGCCCCGATGCAGGTGTGTGTTTATCATTCAACACACAGCTGAGGGGCAGGCAGCCGTAGGCATGCTTTACCAATTAAATCGTGAGTGAGAAACCTAGCCCATCTAGCCCAGAGTGAGTTCCTGCAGCCTTACGAGACACGGCCATGACCTCGAATCATCCTGCTTAATTCACTGCAGTGTTCCTCTTTTTCTCTTTCTCTTGCTCCTTTTCTACTCTAGGTTGGCCGCAGAACTCCCCCGGCTGTTGTACTGTGCCCACCTCGCCATGCTGGCCTGTTTGCAGAGGAGGCAAAACCCTCAACCCCAGCACCCAGTGTGTGCCAGCAAGACCCTGGAGCCACCACAAGCCCTTGGACGGAAATGTAAGTTAACAAAGAGAGGGTGCGATGGAGGTCAGGAATTCTTGCCTGAAGCATTGGAATGAGAACGACGTTTGTGTTTGATCTTCATGCTGAAGGACAGAAACTTGTTGTTAACCCTAACTGAGAAGTTACAAAAAATAGACTTTTCAGTTTCTGTTGTTGGCACTATTTTCTCTCAATACTCTGAGGAATTCTAAACACTTTCATTCACTTTGCACTTAGGCCTTGGAATGCTATGTTGTTTGGCTACTCATTGTGAGGGAGGCTGTTTAGCAGTGCTGATTGTGCAGTCGTGGCAACAGGGCCGAACAGACAGTGTTTAACGTGCCTCAGTGGCCCTGGGTGACCCTGAGGGTCTGTAAACATTTACAGTGTCTGGCCCTGGTTGTGCCGGCCGCATGTAAAGTGTGACAGCTGCTCTGTTTGCTCCCTAGCACCACCCTCTGTCCACCCACAAAATGGTGTAAAGGGACAGAGATGAGCCAGGGCTGAAAACCGCTAAGAGTGCTGGCGAAACTAGCTCTAACCAGTTTGGGATTAGAGAGAGCTGCAGCGGTCAGGCCTCTGGAAGGTGAACTTCTCGTTAACTTTGCTGAAGCTTTGAATAAGCCTTTTTTGTCTGACAAGTGGAGGAAAGGTCTTTCCTGCTTATTTAACACTCCTAGACTCTTTATTGGCCTTTGTTTACATGGCAGGGCTACGAGCGACCTCAAGCTGATTAAAAAGGCTGGCGGATGGAGAGCAGGGGAGTACTAACCTTGCAGTTTTTACCCAAGCTTACAAAGGCTTAGTGGAAATAGAAGGATCTGGGCTTCTTCATCAGAGGAGCATTGTATCAAGCCTTTAACTAGCCCTGTGAAAGGCTTGAAACTCTTGATTGGCGAAGAAATGAAGCACTGCCCAAATTCTTTTTCAGCTCCTCACTGTCCAATTAGCTACTCTTCAGCTCAGCATCACTTTCCAAATTCCTTATGCAGAGGAGAGAAGAATCATAAACAAAAAGGTGACTGTATAATATATGTACTCAGACTTTTTTTGTTGTTTTTTCTAGTCTGTGTGGATATGGAGGTGTATAGATGTGCATGAAACAGGGAGGAACAGAGAGATAAACAAAGCCTTGGGTGCATTTGGAAGGGTTAGCTCTTTAGATTAGTGAACCAACCACAAATCGCTAATGAGGTTTTAGAGAAAGAGGCACAGTGAAAGGGGGAGGGGGAAGGAGAAATTGTGAAAATAAAATTAGTGAAGGTAAAGATGAAGAGGAAGGGAGAGAAATGGAAGGAGTCTTCAGCAGTCTTCTTAATCGATTCCCTACTTCCAATTTTGCAGGATTAGCCCACTTCCTCTCAAGGTCCTTTATTGAAGAGCAGCCAGTGGGAGTCAGGACTCAAATCAATAGAGAAAAAGAACAGTCTCCAGCTTTCCCTTTGCCCTCCCTCTCGCTGACCCTCTCTGTCTAACTCTCCCTGTCACTCCCTCTCCTTCTCCACCTGTTAAACCCTTTGATTGAAGGACTACCGCAGTGACTGACTTGAGGTTCATAATGAGGATGTTTGAACATAATAACCTCCTTTCTGTCCTTGGACTGGAGGGAGGGGGAGGCAAGTGTTGGATTTCCACCATCGTGCACCACTTGGCCTCAATAAGGCAATTGTTTGTCCGGGCCTAGAAAGGCTGCAGAAAAGCAGACAGTGGGTCTGGCTGCAGAAGTGGGCACACTCAGGTCACCATGCTGAGCAGGTCCCATGACTGATTGGTCGTGGCCAAGTTTGTGCCAGAATGGAAAGGGTTTGTGGGTAAAATGACAGGGCTCTCAACAGGAAGCTGAATATAAGAATACACCCTTGAAATGGACAGTAAGTAAAAGTGCAGGAGGGGGATTACGTGGCAGCGAAGGTAGAGGCGAGCTCTGTCATTTGCATCTGCTTTCCTTTACACAAAAACCTGTCTGCATGTGTATGTGTGGGTGTGTGTGTCAGAGAAAGTGGAGGTGGGGTGGCAGAGCATTGGGATAAGAGGGCGAGGAGGGTTTTAGAAAAAGCCCCTGCATGCAGATGCCGAGTGGCTGCACAGTTCATTGATGCGACTCCTATTGAATCCCATTAAAAATCCCTCATACCCTCAATAAAAAAGGACTTAACTGGCTCTACCATCAGCTGGAAGCGTTCAGATCGGCTCGCCAGACAATCAATTTCCCCCAAGCGCACAGAGCTTAGCAGGAGAAACAGGAGGCGGAGAGCGGGATGTTTCCATTATCACAGCCCGCTCTGTGTCTGTGCTCAGGAGGGTGGGGTGAGGTACTGTAGAGCGGGGAGAGAAAGGAGGCAGGAGCAGAGAGAGAGACGGGGAAAGACAGACAAGTAGAGGAGAGAGAGAGAAGCAGAAAGGGAGACAGAGAAGCTGGCTTTTCAAAAAGCTATTGACCGCCTGCCCTTAAAAATATCATATTGGATTAGCCTCACAGGGCAGCCTTTTGATAGTTTTTTTCTTTGGCCGTAGAATTAAAAGGAGTGCGGAGCATTACTTGAATTATAAATCATAGGCACTTGCTTTCACTGTGCCCAAATTCCGCACATATGTGGCTGCACTCTCCAGCGCCAGCCCCTGTCATTTTTAATTAAATCCCCCCTTATGGGTGACATTTGTAGCTTGCCCCCTCCTTCGTCCTCCCCCTCCGCGTCTATCTACCACTGCCCTATATGGAGACATGAAAGGCAGAGACGGCAGCGGAGCCAGGACCTCTCATCGTGTTGTGCCCCACAGAGAGGGCACCCATCCAGGCAGATGAGAGAGAAAGGCCCTGCAGGGGGAGAGGGGTGAATGGATGCCACTGACCCTGGCCACCCTCAGCCGGTGGTGACCTCCCTCTCCACCCATTCCTTTCCTTGATCATCCTTCGATGTGGTCCGGAAGGTCCAGGGAACACGGGTGAGCGTTAAAGCCCCGCTCTCGGAGGGGAACGGGAGGCGGACCAGTCCAGTGAACACTGAGATGGCTGGACAGGAGGCCCAGCAGCCCCCACCACTACCCTGCCTCCCCTCTTGCCCAGACAGCAATTACTCTGTCGCATGTCAGCTAGAGAATAACAGGTCCAGAATCCTTCACTTGAGTAGTTGATGGGGGTATTTCTGCTGGCTATTTTCCAAAATAATATCTTTTCAAATTTCAGCAGGTTTTAATTTGTTTATTCATTCCTTAGCAGTTGCGTTTGTGCCAGCATGACATTTTGTAATGATGCAGTTGTCAAAATGGGTGTGCATATTTGCACATTTTGTGCAGACATGCTGTCAATGCTACAGTACCCTTGTTAACAAAACAGCTTACTGCCACTCCCATATTTGTCCAATGATTGGATCAGACTTTGGGCTAAACCTGGGTGTTCCCTTGTGTCTCTAACCTCAACAGGGCCTGGTTGCGACTCATGAGCACACAATGGTGATTTATAATTACTTTTGGTGTCACTGCACCTAAGCCTAATTAAAACAAAAATGATTTTCCTTTAAAGATGAACGCAATTCTACTTATGTCAAAAACATAAAGCTACTTTTTTAAATTATTATTTAAAGCTAAAGCCACTCTTCAATCAACTGTTGTACAGCCCAGAATTTTTCTTGTAGCAGAGGTGTGTACACACACATTTACACAAGCACACCTGCAACCATAACCCTGTGTGACACCACCCGGGAGGCCCGGGGGTGCCAATCAGCCAGGTGTAGATGAAAAATTCCCAGAAGGCTTGGTATCCCAGGTTCATGCTATGTCAGGCCAGGTTCGGCCCTCTTCCAGCTTGATCGACAGAGACAACCTGGCCTTGTCACATACAGCCTTAGGACATGACATAGAGGTACACCTGGGGATTGTAGTTTTCCTAATAGCCCCATGCTTTTGCAGGCAGAGCTGCCAAAGCCATTATTTTTCTTTGCTTTTAGCTGCTTCTCTTCCTAAGCCACATTGCCATTGGGAGGGAAATATGCTCAGGTAATGACCTGCTGCCACCTCTCCTCCACACTTGTCTGAGGCAGTACGAGACATAACAGTGGAATTAGCTGGCCGTATCAAATTGCACCACAATACTTCAACAACTACTATCCAAGGGGGAAAAGGGGGAGTTGGCAAGAAAGGGGAGGGAAGGGACTTTTTTAGTTGAATATTTAAACGTGGTCACTTGCGGCAGCAGAAATAACAGCCTTTACCCTGATTGCCTCAGTACCCTGGAGGTGGCGGGGGCTGGAGGGTGTAAAGCGAAACTGGGAAAAAAGGAATGGAGACTGCAAGGGAGAGCAAATCTGCATGCACTTGACCTTTTCCCGCTGATTGAACTACCTCATTTCTAACTCCCATTTGGAATTCCACAGAGGGTCCACAGAGACTGTCATTATTCCACTGTCTGCAGCAAGGAAGCAGAGGTCACGAGGTGTTTTTTACAGTGCAAGGTGATTGACAGCTATCCACGTCTTCCTCCATAACTCATCCACGATTCCTATTTATGCAGTTTCATTTTGAGGAATCGCTGGCTTTGCATAGCTGCACTGATTGTGTAATTTGCACTTCTGTAATATTGCTAGATTGTGAAAAGCGGAGAATTTTGAGTCGCAGTTTATTTCAGAGAGACGGCCATATGATATTAGTTGTACATATCTTACCTCATGCATACCACAGCCTCTTCTGTCGTGTTGGCGTCTGATTGCTGGCACACAGAGAATCATTTCCGGATGGTGACATCCAGCAGAGCCATGCCTTCCCTCTGCCCTCTGCCTTCTGCTGTGAACACAGGGGGTGAAGCAATCTTATTGCCTTGAGAGGTGAGCTTGAGGAAAAGGGACTCTGGTGTAGTTTTGGTCGCAGCAGGACTTGGGTTCAAAAACAGGTTCCTTGTTCCAAAGCCTCCGAGCTGGCATTTGGGCGTCCCAGGTGCAAGGCAGCGACACCCTCTGTCTTCGCCTGCCAGAAAGTGGGGGTGGGTTGGACGATCTGAGCGAGGGTACAGAGAGTGTCTGCAG